TTTTGGCTTGCTTTTTTACTGCCCTTATTTTTTAATTAATTTATTTATTTTTGCTGCTCTTATTAAAACTGTCTACTCTATTGTGCTTTTTCTCCACCTCTGAGTATCAAACCAATAAATTCAAATACAGCATACTTTTTTAAGGGGTCAAACACAGGGTGTTGCACATACTAAAATGCTCTACACTGAGCTACACCCCCAGTCCCCTTCTGTATGTGGTTGTTTTTGTTTTGATATCCGGGATTGAACTCACAGCCTTACATTTGCCAGGCAAGCAGCTTGTGTTGCTGAGCTAAATTCCCAGCTCTTCTGTGTGTTTTATGTTTTTAAGTCTTTTTTTTTTTTTTTTTTTTTTTTTTTGTCTTTTTCCTTTTTATAAGTACCAGGGATTGAACTCACGACTGCCTGCTTACAAGGCAGGCGCTTATGCCGCTGAGCTAAATCCCCAGCCCCTGTTTTTAAGTCTTATTTTGAAGTCTGCAATCCATTTGGGGTTGATTTTTTTTTTTTTGTATGCATGTTACCAACAAGTTAAGTCTTGAAAAAGTGAGGAACTGGGGCTGGGGATTTAGCTCAGCGGCATAAGTGCCTGCCTTGCAAGCAGGCAGTCGTGAGTTCAATCCCTGGTACAGATAAAAAAGAAAAAGACAAAAAAAAAAAAAAAAAAAAGAGAAAAGAAAAAGTGAGGAACTGAACCTCCTTTTCTCTGTCCTCTGTTCTTCAGGCCCTTGATGAAAGACTTCAGTCAGGACACATGGGCAGACATAGAAAGGATTTATTATAAAGCAGATGGAGAGAGTTATGCCTTCAAGCAAGAAGATGGGCAATGCTGCAAAGATGGCTGTGCTGAGTGCGAGTTTGGATACATTTCTTTGCACCTGGAAGTTATTCTTGGGTTCTGGGAAACTGGGATGATTACGATGTTTATCAACACTCAGGAGTTATTTAGGAATTGCAGAATGTCTTTCCTGTCCTTATTAGATGGTCAGCAGTTCCTCGGGGGAATTCATCATGTAAGAAACTTACAAAAGATAAGTTCTTAATCTAAACCAGGTCCCAGCCCAAGGCAGGGCAATCTTTAAGGAACATTTCCTTCCCTGATTTCATCTGGCTGTAGGCTATGGGAGCCAGGAATGCTGTGTGCCTGGTTCTGGAGCTCAGTGGCCAGGAGGCCTGGAATGTGCACAAGGTGTGACCTTAAGATGTCATTGCACTCTGAGGAACCACTTTGAGTCTTAGGTATTATGCACTGACATCTTTCTTTTTTCTTTTTTTTTGAGGGGGTGGGGTGTGGTACTGGGGATCGAACTCAAGATGTCACTTGCCAGGCAGGCACTTTTACCACTGAGTTACATCCCTGCGGCCTTTTTAAAAATTATTATTCTTTTTCAACATCTTTCTTTAATTAACTGGTAATCCATGCTCTTTTTTTTTTTTTTTTTTTGTCTTTTTCCTTTTTATCGGTACCGGGGATTCAACTCACGACTGCCTGCTTGCGGGCAGGCACTTATGCCGCTGAGCTAAATCCTCAGCCCCAATCCATGCTCTTTTGGAGGCCCCCCTCAGGCCTGCTGAGTCTACCTGCCCAACGTGGTTTAAGGGCCCAGTTTCTCTTTCTTTCTTCTTTCTTTCTTTCTTTCTTTCTTTCTTTCTTTCTTTCTTTCTTTCTTTCCTCTCTCCCTCCCTCTCTCTCTCTCTCTCTGTCTGTCTCTTTCTTTCTTTCTTTTTTTTTTTGGTACTGGGGATTGAGCTCACAACCTGGTGCTTTCCAGGCAGGTGTTGTGCTTCCCGGGCCCCCCAGTTTCATTCTTTTAGTGGTGAATATCCAGGTTTTCTTTTTTTTTTTTTAAATCGGTACCAGGGATCGAACTCATGATCGCCTGCTTGCAAGGCAGGTGTTTATGCCACTGAGCTAAATCCCCAGCCCTCACCCCCTTCTTTTTTTAAAGTTTTTTGTTTTTGTTTTTTTAATATCCAGATTTTCAATACCTTTTGTTGTTTGGTTTTAAAGGTCTTCCTTGGCAGAATAATAATGTTCAGCCCTTTGCAGATCCCTCAAAGTTTCTCCGGAAATGTTTCTGGGCTATAAGATACAATGAGAGTCTGGCGACTCTCATAACTTTATTATGATGAGAAATTCTATGGAAAGATTAGAGTATGTGGTCCAGTTTGCCTGCAGCCTGCTAGGTGGAGACTGAGTGGCAGTTGGCCCCTTCTCCCCAGTCACCACCCGGCCAGTGCCACTGCGGCACTGAGGTCAGAAAGGTGAAGCCCTCTGCCTGCACTGCGGAGCACAGTAGGCAGAGCAGGGGCAACCACGGTCTCCTGTTCTCAGCCAGCTAAGATTTATTTTGTCTTCTTCTATTTGTTTTTGTAGTACTAGGACCTTTGCACTGAGTGACATCCACAGGCACACACACACACACACACACATATATCCCGTTTTATTTTTTTATTTTTTTCCCAGAGTGCTGAGATCACAGGCATGTGCTCCCACCTGGCTAGGCCAGCTGTTCAGGCTGCCCTGAGATCATCCATGCAGGTGTGCACTGAGCCTTCCTTCTGCTTGCTGGCGAGCTGCAGAGAGGGGGCTCATGCCACCTCGAGACATCCCCAAGCTGCTGGCCAGGTGCCCAGCCACGGTGAGAAGGTGATGAGCATCCAGTGAAAGGACAGCCAGCCAGTGCAACTGAGTGTCAGCTCTGTGGAAGAGGCAGGAGTTAGAAACTCAGATTCTGCTTCCTGCTGTGCCTAAGATTTGCTGTGACACTGGACAAATCTTTCCTATCCTAGATCTCAGTGTTTTCTTGTGTTAATAACAGTAACAACATGAAGCTGCAAGTTCGGGTCCAGCCTGGGTGATATAATGACTTAGACTCTAGCTCAAAAACAAGATAAAACGAGCCAGGGATGTAGCTCAGCAGCATAGCGTCTGCCTAGCAACCATGAGGTCAGGAGGTTGGTTCCCGATACAAAAACAAACAAACAAACCCAAAGGAGGGCTGCCTGTGCATTTACACACATTTACATGTAGAGGGCCATTTGCCTTTCCCAAGCACCCCCAGTGACAGAGATGACTGGATGATTATTGGTGTTATTTTTGGGGTACCAGGAATGGAACTCAGGACCTTGTGCTTGCCAGGCAGGTGCTGCACCACTGAGCTAAATCCTGTCCCATGGTGTTCTGTGTACAGATGAGGACACAGAAGGCCAGAAGGACTAAGGACCTCACCTGAGGTCACACAGCTTGTTAGAGGGGCAGCAGGGATTTACACCCAGACAGTCTGGCCCAGCAACCACCTAGTCCCTGTGTGATGCTAAGAATCTTCAAGATTTTTCTTTTCTGCTCAGAAATACAGTGATTCTCTCAGCTACAAACACAGCAGATATTTTAGTTCTAGGCCTTTGGCAAAAATTTGCTCCTTGGGGGCTGGGGATGTAGCTCAGCAGTACAGCACCTGCCTGGCATGTGCAAGGCCCTGGGTTCAATTTCCGGTACCAAAAAAAATTTTTTTTCTAGTTGTGTTCTTTGAGGTTGGTTAAATGGTAATGACAAATCTTTTCTGGAAGAAAGGCAGCTGCAGGGACAGGGTTGTTTGGGTGCAGTTTTGGTTGAAGACAAGGAAGCAAGCCTGTGGCCCCAAGTCTCTTCCTGTTCCCTGCAGCTCTGTAGTGCGGTCCTCCTGTCCCCCACCAGCCACCTTCCTCCTCACTTGGCCAATTTTATGTGCTCGGAGCAGCCCAGCAGCGGCCAGAATCGGCCTCTAGGGGCAGCAGTGGGCAGCAGCAGTCGCCCCTGCTTAACCCACCCTTGGCTTCTCACAGATCTTGGAGTAAAATCCAAGGTGACCCCTGTGCACCCCTGGGCTCATCTCACAGTTCCTCCCTCTTGCTCACCACACTGCAGTCCCTTGCTGTTCAGACCAGCAGCTGGGACAGCTAAGCTCTGGAAACAGGGCCAGTGCAGGTCAAAGTGTACTGTCCATTGAAAATACACCTGCAAAATATCCTAGCTTCCCACAACAGACCACACTGTTTCCCAGACGCAGCTTGTACTTTTTTTTTTTTTTTTTTTTTTTGTGCTTGCCCTTTTTTTCTCTTTACTCACTCAGCACAAGCTTGCTCTGCAGGGCAGTCTTATGGCTTGTGTCTAGATGTCCCTCCAAAGCCTTATGCAGTCATTGGTGGGGCTTTTTCAGAGGTGGCTAGACCTAGAGTGTGTCACTGATTCATGGTATAGTGCTGGGATTGAGGGTGGGTGATTACTACATCAGTTCACTGATGGTTTGGCACTGCCCTAATTCTGATAGCCTAGACAGAGTATAAAAGGGGCAGAAAGACACTGTTCAGGTCCCTGGTTGCTTTTGCCTGCCATGGACTGTTCTCCTCTGTGATGCACCCTGCCTTGGAGCCAGTTGATTATGGGCTGAAACCTCTACAAACTGTGAGTCAAACACAACTTTTCCTGTTTACATTAGGTGTCAAGTATTTTACTTTGCCACTGCTTTAAAAATAAATAGGCTGGGGGGCTGGGGATTTAGCTCAGCGGCATAAGCACCTGCCTTGCAAGCAGGCAATCGTGAGTTCAATCCCTGGTACCAATAAAATGGAAAAAGACAAAAATAAATAAATAAATAAATAAATAAATAAATAGGCTGGGCTGGAGGTTTAGCTCAGTGGTGTAAGTGCCTGCTTGGCAAACGCTCCCTGGCACCAAAAAAAAAAAAAAAAAAAAAAAAAAAAGTAAAAATAAACAGGCTGGGAATTACTTTTTTTTTTTTTTTTGTGGTACTGGGGGTCGAATTCATGACCTCACACTTGCCAGGCAGGTGCTTATGCCACTGAGTTAAATCCCCAGGACCCCCCCCCCACTTTTTTTGTCTTTTTCCTTTTTTTATTAGTACTGGGGATCGAACTCACGACTGCCTGCTTGCAAGGCAGGCACTTATGCTGCTGAGCTAAATCCCCAGCCCCCCCCCCCCTTTTTTTAAGACTGGTGATTTAGCTTAGTGGCATAAGCGCCTGCCTGGCAAATGCAAAGTCGAAAATTTGATCCCCAGTATGGGAAAAAATAAATAAATAAAAATGCATATACTGTATTGCTAAGCCAGAATACAAAGAAGGGATACACATGATCTCATTGAAATGAATATTTTATTTTATTTATTTTTTGGTACTGGGCATTGAACTCAGGACCTTGTGTTTTCCAGGCAGGAGCTTGTGCCACTGAGCTAAATCCCTGGCCCCTTAGTGATAATGTTTTAGATATATTGGGTTACATGAGACATTATTAAAATTAGGTCACTATTTCTTTTTACTTTTTATTGTGGCTACTTTAGAATTCCCCACATGAACTACACATGGTGGCACGGATTTATAATCCCAGTGACTGGGGAAGTCAGGTGTCTCCCCCAGGTTTTGTCACAAGAACTAAATTGGCAGCTGGGCCAAGCACCAAGCAGTGGTGGCTGTGTGCCTGGCCCTCCACTATGGCCAGTGGGGCCAGGTGAACCTGGACTTTGCAGGGCAGGGTCCATCTGTGCCCAGCTGCCATAGCTCAGCAGGCCTTGTGGCTCTGCACTCAGAGAGGCGTCACTCAGTGCCTAGGGAGGTGAGGACAGAGGACAGGCTGTGTGGGCAGCAGGAACAGGACCCTGTGCAGAGACGGAGAAGAGCCTTGGAACAGCAGCCCTGGCCTGCAGCCACATCCGCAGGCCCACAGGCTGTCACACTCAGGGAGGACTTAAATCATTGCCTCGGTCTCTTTCCTCTCTGAGAACCCCAGTTACACAGGATCTGGATGAGGGGGACCCCAGCACTGTGCAAAGGGCAGCCACTGGGGTTCAGGTGGGTTGGAGGTGGCCTGCTGCAGAAATAGCCTGGGAAGCAGGAGAGGTCCTGGGGACTTGCCCATCTCATGCAGCTCTGGTGAGCAGGGAGCCCCTTCTCTGGAAGCCTGGCCTCCTTCCATCTGGGGTGGCATGAAAAGGCATCCCCCTACACCCCATCCCCCCAGGGCTGGGCAGCCTCCTACCGTGGTCCTTTCCCCAGCCTGCTTCAGGATTAACTCAGGGCTTTTCTAAGGCAGGGAACAGAGCCCTCAGGCCCTCATGTCCAGAGTGATGAAACCCAGGGGGCTCAGGTCAGAGGCCCAGAAAGGAGACCCGGGAGCCCAAGAATAGCATTCCAGGTGGAGATGCTGAGAGCCTGTCCGGTCAGAGCACAAGTGATGAGGGCCAGAGCTCTCTCCTAGGCCTTCTGCAGCGCTCAGCAGTTCCCACAGTGTGGAAAAATAGGCAGCCAGTGTGGCAGGCGCCTGTAATCCCAGCACTGAGGAGGCTGAGGCAGGAGGACCGTGAGTTCAAGTCAAGGCTACATAGTGGGTGTAAGCCCAACCTGGGCCAGACAGCAAGATCCCGCACTGCCCCCCCCCCACCTCACCCCGCTAAGAAAGAAGAAAGGGAGGGACAAAGAAGATGGCTTCTCTTGTGCGGTAGATACGGAATGTGTATCCTGGCTGCATCCCAGCCAGGAAATTTATGGCCTACCGGTGACCTTCCACAGGCCCATCGCGCAGAGGTGGCTAGTGCACCCGGCCTCCCTGCCGCTGTCCTGGACTCTGCGTCGGCCAGGCTGGGCTGCTGGCTAGGAGGATGGGCTGGGGTCAGCGGAGACCAGCAGCCCGCAGTGCCGCAGACGCAGCCCCAGCCCCCAGTTAGCCTCCTTTGTTTTATGTCTAATTATAAAAGCAATTCATACTCCTTGTAAAATCTGGAAACTATAGGAAGGTAGAAAAGGAGAAAATGAGAGCCATCCGGTTCCGATTCCGGTTCCGGTTCCGGTTCCCGCAGCCCTGCGCTGTGCAGCCTGCAGCTCGCTGTGACCCGGTGGGCTCTCCCTGCACTGCACTGTCCTGAGCCCTCCTGGAAGCTGTGAGATTTTCTTTAAAGTATTTAATGACTCGCTAATAGGCTATTAATAATTCACTTAGCCCTTCTAGTTCCTCTGTTCACCCTGCTAAATTGATTCTGCCATATACAGGGGACTGAACCCACAGCGTTTGCATCCACACCCCCACACTTTTTTTACTTTTATTTTTTTGAGACAATGCCTCACTGTGTAGTGCAGGTTGACCTTGAACTCACTATGTAGCCCAGGCTGGCATCCAATTTAGGGCAATCTTCCTGTCTCAGCCTCCCTAGTGCTGGGATCACAGGCATATGACACCATGCCTAGCTATGGCCTCAGAATCTTAAAAGGTAGGGCTGGGGATTTAGCTCAGCGGCATAAGCGCCTGACTTGCAAGCAGGCAGTCATGAGTTCGATCCCCGGTACCGATAAAAAGTTAAAAAAAAAAAAAAAAAGAATTTTAAAAGGGCTGGGATGAAGCTCAGTGGATTCAATATCCAGTACTTCAGGAATCAGTCACCAGCATAGTGGTTTACACCTCTAATCCTAGTACCTGGCAGGCTGAGGCAGGAGGATCACCATCAGTTCAAGTCCAGGCTCAACTACATAGTGTCTCAAAAAACCAAACAAGAGCTTCAATTTTCCTTTTCATTCTGTCCTGTGCTGTGAGTTCTCTGAGAACAAAGATGAGCACTGCTTATCTTGGAGCCCCCAGTGGCCAGCAGAGCAATGGGCACAGGGAGAGGGTCCTCAGTGCGTAGATGATGGAGGCCAGGTGAACTGAAGGAGCATCAAGTCCTGCGAGGTGGACTGGGAGTGTTTCTCTGCTTTGCCCCCCTCTCCCTGAGGGCTTGTGTGTTCTCGTCCTCCTTCCCTTCCTCACGGCCAGAACTGACCATGGGGGAGCTTTAGACTCCCAACCATGTGACTCCACAGGTCACTTGCCCTCCTTGGTGTCTGGTGTCCCCTGTGTCGGCTGATGAGGGGCTTGGATGGCCTTGGACTGGGGCTGGCCACGCAGGGAGCAGAGGGTTGGGATCCCCAAGACCCTGGCATCTGACCCGGGTACCTTGCCTGTGCTGTCACTCTGTGCCCCTTCTGCCGCCAAGGGCACACAGTGCAGCTGGGCCCAGCTGGAGGTGGCCCGGCCCCTCTGCAGTGCTGTTCTCTGCCGCCCTGGTGCTCGGCTCCAGGCAGCCTTCAGCAGGCTGCCCAGGATAGAGCCGGGTGCTCCACTTCCTGTCACTGTTTCCTGGGCTTCCAGGCTTTGTGGCGGGCAGGGAGCTGAGGATTGAACCCAGGGCTTCTCACTGACCTGCACTACCAACCCTTTGTGTTCTTTTGATTTTGAGACAAGGTCTTACTGAATTGCCCAGGCTGGGTTTGAATTTGTAATCCTGCCTCAGCCTCCTAGAGTGCTGGGATTACAGGCATGGCTTCCAGGCTTTAAATTAAGGGAAATGAAATTGGGCTAAAGCCCTGCAGGTCAGCTAAGAGCACCAAGCGAGATGACAGAACTGTGTGGCCACTGTCACCCACCCTGCTCAGATTATGATGATATAGGGAAAAACTATGTCACTCCCAACCTGCTAGATGTTGGACAGGCCGAGTTCATGTTCCCCAAAGTCAAAGAATGAATTCTAAGGACCAGTGGAGGTGAACAGTAGGAAAATTCACTCTCAGCACTGGGGAGGTTGAGGCAGGAGGATCACTGCAAGTTTGAGGTCAGTTTGGCTACAGAATGAGTTCAGGGCCAGGGCTTTAGGAGTTAGCTCAGTAGCCTAAGTGCCTGCCTGGGAAGCACAAGGTCATGAGTTTGATCCAAAGGAGTTCAAGGCCAGCCTAGACTACATAGTGAGACTCGTCTCAAATAAACAAACAAGAAACCCAGGAAAATTTATTGAGGAATAGGAGTAGGTCCCAAGAGATAGGAGGGGTCCTGAGTGGGTTACCAATGAGCCAGTTTCTCAAAGGAAGTTTTATACAGCAAAGTCACAAGGTGGATACAACATGGGTCAAATCATAATCAGCCAGTAAGATTAAAAGTAGCAGAGCCACTTAACTAATATTAATACAGTATGGCAAGGGCATATGGAAGACATCATTAACCTTAGTTGATAACCTTAGTTGATAGTCTTAGTCTTAGTGTTAGTTTTAGTGGGTGGCAGAGGATGGTTCACCCCTATGATATAATGATTTATTTGTATGGGAAATCTCAAAAGACTGATACCAATAATGTGAGGCTTCTTCAGGGAAGTATGTAAATCTAGCTATGTATAATATTAATACAAGACCACTTCTAAAATGTAGGTAGAAGTGTGGGCTGGGTGTGGTGGCCCACACTTATAATCCCAGCCCTTAGGAGGCTGAGGCAGGAGGATCACTGTGAGTTCAAGGCCAGCCTGAACTGCATAGTGAACTGTCTAAAAAAGACAAAAATCCCAAAACAGGTAGGAGCATGGGCCCTAGCCTGCTCCTGTCCTGCTGGTGTGTCCCTGGATGTCCACTCGCCCCTCAGGGCTCCTGGGAAGGCCTGCTTAGGTCGCCTAGCCTAACCCTGACTGTGGCCCTCAGCAGCTGCCCCCGGTGTCTCCACCGCCAGCACCCGGGGCCCCATTTGTCCATCTGCACCCGGAGCCCGGGATCCCCCTCATTACTGCAGCTCATCAGGAAGATGAAATGGGAAGCCATGAGCCCCACCCGGCCTGCGCGCCTGGCCTGTTCGCAGTGCGGCCTTCTCTGTGTTGGGCAGGAAGGATTCCTTTGTTGGTTTTTGCTGGCAGAAGCAAAGCCAGGTTGAGGACGTCCCTCACGCCCCAGGCCTCCTGCCCAGGGCTTCTCCTTGCTCAGATAGGACAGTGGCGCAGGCGGCAGCAGGGTGACCTTCGTCAAGCTAGAAATGCATTCCCAGCGTTGCCGGAGGGGGCTGGGGAGGGCTGCGCTGCTGCAGCTGCCACCGGCTGCCCCCAGGCACCAGGCAGCCGAGGTGGGGGCTGGGCTGCAGCTGCAGCTGTGGTCAGGTCCGGCGGGCTGTGCGCTGGGTCTCCCACCCCTGTGGCCAGCAGCTTTGCCCTGGGATGGGAGCTCCCAGAGAGGCCTACGAAAACACTGTAGGTTTCTTTCTGCCTGTGAGAGTAATTCTTGTTTATTATGGGAAAAATAAATTGGAGTACTCAGTAAAATACAAACCCAGAGCACTCTGCATCCCTATCTCTCATAAAAACATGTAGGGAACATTTCTTTTTTGTTGGGGGGTGCTGGGGATTGAACTTACGACCTTTCATTTGCTAGGCAGGCACTTATGCCACTGAGCTAAATCCATGGCCCTTAATGGAATATTTCTACCTAAGAGTAGTGGCACATATCTGTAGTCCCAGCACTTGGGAGGCTGAGGCAGGAGTATTGCCAGCCTGGGCTGCATAGTGAGACCCTGTGTCAAAAAACTGACAAAAAAATTGTAACAATTATACTTTATTTTAAAACCTTTTTTATTGGGGGCTGGGGATTTAGCTCAGCGGCATAAGCACCTGCCTTGCAAATAGGCAGTCATGAGTTTGATCCCTGGTACCGGTAAAAAACAAAAAGAGAAAAAAAAATTTTTAAAAAACAACCTTTTTTTATTGTGAAATATGACATACAGAAAGTACACGTAAAATAATTGTAGGGCAAACACCCTTGGAACCAGCAGATGAGGATACAGGACTTGGCCAGCTGCCCTCGAAGCCCTGTGTCCCAACTCAGTCACAGCTCTCTGTGTCCAGCCCCCTGACCATTGTTCAGCTTGTGTGCAGCACTGGGCACGCAACCCCAGCTAAACTAGAGCTGTGACCTGGGCCACATCCCAGCCCCCAACTTCTGAGACAGTCGCTTTCTTTATGGTTATCACTGAAGTGTGCACCCCTAGACTGTAAATGTACCTTTTTCATTTTATTTTATTTGAGACAGGTTTTCACTATGTGTTTCAGGCTGGCCTTGTGCTCACTGTGTAGCCCAAACTGGCCTCAAACTCAAGGTGATCCTCTTGCCTCAGCTTCTAGACTGTGCTGGGATTACAGGCATGGACCACCATAACCAGGTAACTTTTTTTTCTTTTTTGTCTTTTTTTTCATTTTTATCGGTACCAGGGATCGAACTCATGACCGCCTGCTTGCAAGGCAGGTGCTTATGCCGCTGAGCTAAATCCCCAGCCCCTATCTTTTTTTTCTTAAGAGAGAAAAATAAAATTTCAAAACATGATAATTAGGGAATAACAATGGTAATATTAAGTCTCATTATCTTCAAATCAGTTACCCAGAGTATAATACATCTGCATTTAATTTTCTGAATGATACTAGCACAAACCTTTCTCTTCAATGAGCTTATTTTTTTATTACTTTTTTTTTCTTTTAGTGTTGGAGATCAAAACAAGGGCTTTGAACATGCCAGGAAAATGCTCTACCACTGTACGACATTCCCCAGCCTTTAAAAAATTCTATTTTGGAGAGTGTGGAATGGGGAGAACCAGCATGGAAACTGAGCCCTGCCTGTGAGCCAGCCTGAAGCCAGGAGTCGGAGCAACTACTTATTTAGTTATTTTATGCTTTTTTTTTCAATTTTTTTTCACTTTAAGGTTGACAGTATATTCTGGAGATCATTTATACGCAGTATAACAATATATCTCATTCCTATCATAAAAACACGTATCATTATCACACGGATAAAATAGTCTTGCCAACAGAGCACTGGCAAGCATATGATTTGGTTTTGGTTTCTTTCTTTTTTTTTTCAAATCCATTTTATTCAGACATAAAAAGGAAAAAACTACAATAAAATTTCAAGGCACATCAATCAGGGGGTAACAATGGTACATACATTGCACATTGTCATCCCCAAATCATTCACCCAGAGCCCAAGACATCTGCATTCAATTGTCTGAACAGCAGCAGCACAAATCTTTTTCTTCAGTGAACAGTTAACTATCTTAACTATTTTTATATACACACATATATATATATCCATACATATACATGTGTTTTTTTAATTTCAGCTTGTCACACTAATGAAGCAATACAATGTTTACATATGTGTGTTATTTTTTTTTTTTTTTTTTTTGTCTTTTTCCTTTTTATCGGTACCGGGGATCAAACTCACGACTGCCTGCTTGCAAGGCAGGTGCTTATGCCGCTGAGCTAAACCTCCAGCCTCTGATATGTGTGTTATTTATTTTACTAATGAGTATGTCCTCAAGGTGCATCCATTTACCTATAAAAGTGTCCAGTTTTCATTTTTATGGCTAAGTAGTATTCCATTGTATAGAAATATCACATATTTTTTATCCATCCTTCAGTCAATGGGTATTTAGGTTGTTTCCAAGATCTGGCTATTATATAAACTGTGCTGCTATAAACATGGGTGCACATATATCACTGTGGTATGGTGTTTTTAATTCTTTTGGGAAGATACCCAGAAGGGGAATAGCTGGGTTGAAAGGGACCTCCAGTCCTAGTTTTTGAGGAATCTCCACACTGATTTCCACAGTGGTTGCACCAGTCTGCATTCCTACCAACAGTGGAGAAGGGTTCCTTTTGTCCCCACAGCCCCTCCAGCATTTGTTATTGGTTGATTTCTTAATACTAGCCATTCTTTCTGGGGTGAGGTAGAATTCAGTGTTGTTTTAATTTGCATGTCTTGAATGACCAGTGAGGTTGAACATTTTTCATGTATTTATTTGCTATTTGTATTTCTTCATCAGAAAAGTGTGTATTCATCTCAGGTGCCCGTTTTTGGATTGGGCTGGGCAACTACTTAGAGGACAGAATATGCAGTATAGTAAGGATTGTAGGCTTCCTACCATCTTATCACTGTTTTGTTTCATTTTATTGTTTTGTTTCCTTTAAAATAAGAATAAATACATAAATTAAAAATTTGTTTTGGGGGCTGGGGATTTAGTTCGGTGGCATAAGTGCCTTGCAAGCAGGCAGTCGTGAGTTCGATCCCTGGTACCCATAAAAGACAAAAAAATAAAATAAAATAAAAATACATTTTAAAAAATTTGTTTTGACTCCATACTGAACTAGAGATGAACTTTTAAGTAAAAGACAATGTTGATAATGAAAAAAAATTAGTTTGAGACAGGGTCTCACTAAATCATCAAGGCTGACCTGGAACTGCTAGTCTTGCCTTGTTCATAACAGCAAAAGCCTGAAAATAAACTCGGTGTCCATCAGCCGGGAAATGGTCAGTCATGTCCACCTCTGCAATGGAACAATGGAGCCATTAAAAATGATGGAGGGTGAGTGTGCCTACACATAATCCCAGCTACCTGGGAGGCTGAGGCAGGACACCCAGTTTATTTCCAGGCTTTATGTTGTTATGAACAATACTATAGCCCTGGGAATGCAGCTCAGTGGTGGATGGAGTCTGGGACATCATGCGCAGGACCCTGACTCAATTCCTAGCAATGAAAAAAAAGTCCTTTACAAGCAATATTTTAATACGAACAAAAAAATATTTGGTGCTCCTGGTAGTTGAACCCAGGGGCCTTCTACTACTGAGCTACACCCCAGCCCATCAATTTGTGTTTGTTTTATTTAGCAGTACTAAGAATTGAACCAAGAATTTTCATACTGAGCTATTCCATCTGCCCTTTTAAATTTTTATATCTTTTTTTTGTTTTGTTTTGTTTTCAGTACTAGAGATTGAACTCACGACCTTGCGCTTGCCAGGCAGGCGCTTATGCCACTGAACTAAATTCCCAGCTAATTTTTGTATCTTAAAAAACATAAAAAAGAGGGCTGAGGATGTAGCTCCCTGTGAAAGTCTTGGGTTCAATTTGCAGAACTGAAAAATGCATACACACATACATCACACATATGTAACCTTTTATCTTGAGACAGGATCTTGCTAGGTTGTCCAGGCTGGGCTACAATTTTTAGTCCTCCTGCCTCAACCTCCTAGAGTGCTAGGATTATGAGCATGCACCACAATAACTGGGCCTGTACTTTCTTTTAGCTCTTTTTTTTTTTTTGTCTTTTTGAGACAGGGTCTCACTGTGCAGTCCAGCTGGCCCTTGAGCTTACTTTGTAGACCAGGTTGGTCTCAAACTCACAATGATCCTCTTGTGAGGTAGGGGTCCAGCTTCCTTCCTTTGTGTGAGGGTATCTGGTCATCTTGTTGAAAAACTGTCCTTTCCCTACTGCGTGGTCTTGGTACCCTTATTGGCAGCCTCAGTGGCCTCAGTTGACCACAAACCTTCAGATTGATTGATTTATTCCATTGATATCTATCTCTGCCCTCCTGTATACCACACTGTCTTGATTTCTCTAGCTTTGTAGAAATTTTTGAAATTGGAAGTATGGATCTTCAACACTAATTTTTCCCAAGGTTATTTTAGCCATTCTGAGTATTTTAAATTTTATATGTATTGTATTCTATTTTATTTAAATTTTTTTTTTAGCTAGTGTCTCACTATGTAGTCAAGGCTAGATCTGAATCCTTGATCCTCTTGTCTCAGCCTGCTGAGTGCTAGGGTTACAGGTGACCACCGTGCCTGTCTTTCTAGATGAAGTTTAGAACCAACTTGTCAGTTTCTGTGAAGAACCAGGTTCTGGATTTGGGGTTAAAACTCAGCAGTAAAACACTTACTGGGCAAGTGAATCCTAGCCCTGGCTTCGATCCTTAGCACCAAAGAAAAAAAAGTACTAAGTTGGAATGTTAATGAGGTTTATGTTGAACTGAAGGCTAATTGGAGTTTTGCCATTTTAATAATATTAGGTCCGAGTATAGTGGCACATATTTGTAATCCTAGCACTCAAGAGCCTGAGACAGGAGGTTCTCTGGGAAATCAAGGCCAGTCTGAACTACATAGTGAGATCCTCTTACAAACAAACAAACAAGAAAAAAAAAAAACACCAAAGTTATAGGACAGAGGATTTAGCTCAGTGGCTCAAACACTTGCCTACTAAGCTTGAGTTCCTGAGTTCAATCCGTGGTATCAAAATAAATAAATAAATAAATAAAAAGTTAGGTCTTTAGGTCCATGAATATGTGATGCTTTTCATTTTTGTAGGTTAACTTTAATTTTTTTGGTACTAGGAATGGAAGTCAGGGCCTTGTTCTTGCCAGGCAGGCATTTGTTATTGAGCTACATTCCTGTCCATCAACTTTAGTTTTTTAGCAATGTTTTTCAGATTCCAGGGTGTATATTTTATACTTCCTTTGTTATATTTATCCTTAAGCATTTCATTCTTTTTGATGTTAGTATATATGGAATTATTATTATTATTATTTTTGGTACCAGGGATTGAAACTCACAATCTTGTGCTTGCCAGGCAGGCACTTGAGCCGCTGAGCTAAATCTCTGGCCCTACAGAATTATTTTCTTTTTTTTTTTTTTTTTTTTTTTAACTTTTTAACTTTTTATCGGAACCAGGGATCAAACTCACGACCACCTGCTTGCAAGGCAGGTGCTTATGCCGCTGAGCTAAATCCTCAGCCCCAGGATTATTTTCTTAATGTATTGTTTTTGTTTTTGTTTGATAGTTTACTTATTTATTTATTTACTCATGACCTTGAGGCACTTATGCCATTGAGCTAAATCCCCAGCCTGAGATAGAATGTTTAGATAGTCCAGCCTGGCCTCAAATTTATGATCCTCCTGTGTCATCCTCCCAAATGCTGAGATTATTTAATTACACTTTTGAAGTGTTCATTGCAAGCAAAAGAAATTCAATTGATTTTTTTCTATATTGATTTTATATCCTGCAGCTTTGCTGAATTCATTTATTAGTCCTAATTTTTCTAGTGGATTCTTTAGCATTTTATATATCCAGAAATCGTATCATCTGCAAATAGAGGTTGTACGCTGGGCGACATTTCCTTGCTTAAGTGCCCGGCTGGCACTTCTAGTACTGAATAGAAAGTGGATATCTTTCCTTGATCCTGAACCCTGACGTTAGAGACCCAATCTTGCACCGTTATGCAGGTCCCTGGCTGCAGGAAAGCCCTCTCTAGTGCTTACTGCAGGACAGGCCAGTTCCATCCTCACTTCCACACAGGAAAACAGGGAGGCCTATTCCTTGCCAACATGGTAACCCCAGGTGCAGAGATGAGGGCCTGTCTCTCCTGTGGCCGGGGAGAAGTAGGGTGTGCTCAGCTGCTCTCAGCTCCCTTGTAGGACCCCCAGCCTTTCCTCCCCTGGGCTGGATGCCTTGAGAACCAGCAGAAAGGTACTGGGGCACATGGAGTTCTGAGCTCAATTGATTGCTTGATTTTTTTTTTTTTTTTTTGTCTTTTTGAGACAGGGTGCACTATGCAGTTCAGGCTGGCTTTGAAGTTGGGTGTGGAAAACCTTTGGGTTTTCCCATCTGTGCGCTGGGAAGAGTGGTACACTCTGAAATCTACCAACTACCAATAAATACTCCACCCACCCTTAAATCCCTAGTGGCCTCGGCTTTCGGCACTACCCAGAGTAGCCACCAGAGGGCGCCGCAGACCGGTATTTGACGCAGCTCGCACGCAGGGCCCCTGGGGACGCTGCGAAGAAGGCAGGTTTTCCAGGAGCTGCAGGCTTCCTTGTGGCTCCATCTACCCAGCCCCTCTCCACGTTCCTCTGGCTGAGCCCTGCTCTCTGAGGAGAGAGGGACGGAGGTTTCACTGCAAGGCCAGCGGCCTCAGCCTCAGCCCCAGGACCAACAGCCACGGTAGGCTGCAACTGCCGTGTGGCAGGATGTGGTCACCCCAGTGGGTGTCCCTGGCAGGGGACATCACGGCCCTTGTGCATGTAGATGGACTGGTGGACAGCGTGGTCTCTGAACCACAATGTCTGGCTTCCTGGATCTCTGGAGTGACAGAAACCGGAACCACAGAAGCAGCATCAAGGACGTCAGGGCCCACCGGGAACTTCCCAGAGCCCCAGAGCGGGCTCTGTCAGCACCCCATGCCCTTCGTGCTGACTTCACCTCCAAGTAAAATCAGAATGTGCTTCAAAATTTGCAAGTCTGGCTCTGGGACAAACCAGCACCCTCACCCTGACCCTTTGCACAGCGGGTGCTGGTGCCCCATCCCCATGGAGGACACCTTTGTGTGTGTTCACTCCCTTTCCACATGGGGCCCCTCAGAGGCAGAGGGAGTCCCAAGGTCACCTCAGCCGCTAGGTGTCCAGCAGCAGCTCTTTCTCTTGCCTGGTTAGGCAGAGCCTGCGGTGGCTGGTGAGCCTGAGTGGCTCTGCCAGGGCCTTTCCCTCAAGGTCGTCCTTGGGTGGAACAGAGGCCACACTGGCCAAGTCCTGCGACTCCCATAACAAGGTGGGCATTGAAGCTGAATGGGACCCTGGCTGAGCCCCCCCCAGCCCTCCCCCCAGCCCCCCCCCCATCTCCTGGACACCAGTGCTCCCTCAGTGACACTTTCAAGTAGGCAGCACTGCCATCGCCAGTTTTGCAGTTAGGGAAACTGAGACAGGATAACTAAGTCCCATGTGGGCAGCTGGGACTGAAGCCCTAGTGCTGAGCACAGAGCCTGTCTCTCAGCCATGGGACTTGCTCTGCCTGGAACCCACCAAGGGCGGGGCCAGCAGCGTGGGACCTTTTTGTCCCCTATCTCAGAACCAGCAAGGGTCAGAGATCATGTGTTCCAATCACCCCTTCCCAAGACTGGAATGACCCATTCCTGTAATGCCAGTGCTTGGGAGCCTGAGGCAGGAGGATCAGGTTCAAGGCCAGCCTGGGATACAAAATGAGTTGGAGACCAGCCTGAACTGCATAGTGAGACCCTGTCTCAAAAAGACAAAACAAAGAGATAAATACAAACCTTGGATACTAAGGGCAATATATATATATATATATATATATATATATATATATATCTCACACATGCAGCATGTGGTATCTGGGGGGTGACAGGCTCAAGGCTGACATCGAATATTGTCAGAATTTGAGTGATACCCATGGTACCCCAGAGTTCGGATCTAAGATCCCAAAGGTTATCTTCGGGTCTTGTTCCAAGCCTCCATCTTGTTTGGCCTCCTGGGCTCAGCATTGGGATGCAGAGCTAGGGTGGGAAGGGCTCTTTAAAGGCTTCCTCTGCAGCCTGGTGCCAGCACATGTCTGCAACCCCAGCACTTGGAAGGCTGAGGCAGGAGGATTGCTGTGAATTGAGACCAGTCTGGGCTACAACGTGAGCTCAAGGCCAGCCTGAACTACACAGTGCGGTGTCTTTAAAAGACAATAAATAAATAAATAAATAAATAAATAAATAAATAACGGCCGGCAGGCCTGGGGCCCTGGGGCGCGGGCAGGGTCTTCAGCTCCTCCCCCAGACCCCCCTACCATCCTGGACCCGGAGAGCTTTCGGGTGGGTGAAGACACTGGGGGAAGTGGGGCCCCGCTGCAGCTGCAAGGTGCGCGGGCGAGATAGGGCAGCGGGAAGGGGCCGGGCCGCAGGCGAACCGCGCAGCGGCGGCTTTGGCCCAGCTCCCGCCGGCCGCGGGGGCTCCCGAGCTTGTCCTGCCTCCTCCTCACCAGGGCGACTCCGCACCTTTAATTAGCAAGCGGCAGCCTCGCCCGATTCATCACAGTCACTGCTTAATTAGCCGCGCAGAGCGCCCCCACCCCAGCTCCCGGGCGGAGGCTGCACGGCCAGCGGGGTCCCCGACTGCGCCCTACCTGGTGCTGCCCCGGAACGCGCCCCGGGGGGCCACGCCCGGCAGCTCAGGGAGACCGGCGTCCCGGGGTACCGGCGGGGGTTGCTGGGGGGGGGTCCGTGCCAGGCTGGCCGGGGCATTCGGGACGGACGGGGTGGGGATGAGGCCCTGCCCACGCCGCACGGTGGCCCTGCCCTTCGGGGGCTGCCGGGACCTCTCTCCCGCTGCACCCAGGCTCCAGCCGGCGGCTCCCGGTGCTGCTCGCGGGCGCAGGGCGGGGTGACCCGCAGTCCCGCCTCTGCTCCAAAGCCGGGCAAAGCCGGCGCCCGGGGGTGGGGGCACCGTGAGCTCTTCTGGGCAGGGCCAGGAGGCCGTGGCGCCGGGCCCCGTGCACTGTGTGCGGGGGGCGAATCGGGCCCCTCCGCGGCCTCAGTGTCCTGGTCACGGAAGGGCGAGCCACCTGCTGTCCCCAGGAAGCTGCAGACCAGCATTTGCTCTGCGACCCTGGGTGGGGGCTCAGTGCGTCGCAGGGGGTGCATTAGAACCCATCCACTCTGGCACTGCCATCTGTGTGATCTCAGGGCACCGTGCCTCAGTTTCCCCACCACCGGCAGGTCCATTATACGTTGTTGTCCTCAGTGACTGGAGCCACGCCTGGCAGAGGAAGTTCTCGCCCTCATTGGCTGCCTGCTCCCTCCGCGCTCCTCCTCGCATCCAATCAGCGTCTATTGCCAGGTGGGGGTGGGAGAGGGAGAGAAAACCTCCGGATTTCCAGTTCACCTCTGGAGCTGGAGGCAGCTGAGAAAGAGCAAACCCAGAGAGGAAGCTACAGTTCCAGCCGAGCAAAGCCTGCCGCGTAGCTAATGGTAACACGCATGTTCACTGCTTGGCTTTGACAAACGTACTCGGGTCAGAGTGGGTCAACATCAGGAAAAACTGCCCTGGGCACTGTCTTCGAAACTTTTCTGTGAATTCAAAACCATTCCTAAAAAAGCTTATTGTAAAAAATAAAAAATAAAAAAAAAGGCGGTTTCAGGCAATGGTAAGTACTGTGAAAAATATAAAAGAGAAGAGGGAGAAAGAACAGGGACTGGGGACCCTTCCAGAGGGGGGGGGTTTGGGAGACTGAGGAAGGGCCTGGCAGGAGGGAACACAGTGCAGCAAAGGCCCAGAGGTGGGAATGAAGGCGGGAAGGGGCGTGGGGTGTTTAGGGTGAGCCTTGAGGTGGCAGGATGCTTGGGGGGCCTCAGTCACTGGAGGAAGGGGTGCAGTGCACGTCCTTCTCCCAGTCCCCTGCTGGGTGTCAGTGGGGAGCTGAGCTACTGCAGGCTCCTAACCCTGCAGCTGCTCCCCCAGCTCTGGCTGCTCCCTTTTAAGGAGCCCTTTTAAAGGACAGGAGGGAGGAGGAGCCCCTGGGCTGGACCAGACCAGCACTTCCCACGCATCTGTGCGTTCATTATGCTCCCCCAGCTGACCGGGGCAGGGACAGCCTGGCCACCTACAGGTGAGACAGTGGGGGACAGAGGCCCTTCTCTGTCACCTGGCCAGTGGCAGACCTGTGCTTGGTAGAAGAGACTGCTCGGCTTCCTGTGGAAGACAGGAAGCACGCGATAAATGAGCACCCCCCTGTGTATGTGGGGGTTGGGCTAGGCCCGCAATAGGAGGCTCTGGTCAGCGGGAGGCCAAGTCAGGAGGGCCGCTCAGTTCAATGGCTCGGTAATCAGCTTTGAAGCTCTAACACCTGTGCAGCAAAAAATTGTTTCCTTTGTTGTTTTTTGAGATAAAGCCTTGCTATGTAGTTCAGGCCGGCCTTGAACTCACTGTAGTAGAGGCTGGCCTTGAGCTAGTGGCCATTCTCCTGCCTCAGCCTCTTGGGTGCTGGGATTACAGGCATACACACCCACACCCAGGTATGCAACAAAATTCTGAAGGGACAAAACAAGACATAGGTGAATTAGGGTCCCCTGCCACTCAATGTCCCTCCCACAGGTCACTCCTGGGACTTCTTTCCTTCCTCTTTCCTGCCTTCCTTCCTGCCTTCGTGCCCTCCTTCCTCCTTTCCTTTCCTTTTGAATGTGAAGACTGAAACCAGAGCCTGTTGTGTGCCTGGGACCTGTGTCTCCTGCTCCTTTCTGAAGCAGACAGGCAGCCTGGCTGGACCACAGTGACAGTGGACAGTCAGAGAGTCCCAGGCCTCTGGTGTCCCCTGCCAGGAAACCAGGACACAGGAGTGTGTTTGCTATCACACGGGTCCTTGCCACGCGGATACCAAGCGCCTTGTGTTAAATCCCAGTAAACAGAGACACATTAAGGAACTCACTTGAGGCCACACAGCTAATATGCAGTGAGTGTGTTCTGTGGTGGTGCAGGTGAGGAAGTTGAGGCACAGAGCTTGAAGAACCAGCCTCCGGGGCCTGGCAGGGAAGCTGAGGAGCCCTTGGCCCTGACCTCCATCCTGTGTTCTGGAGTCAGCCAGACCCAAGAGTGGTTTCTACCACCACCAGCCTTGGACAAATCACCAGGGATAGAAAGACAGCCAGCTTCTCGGAGGGCTGGAAAGCAACAAGAGGCAGCGGAAGGGCCCTGAGGGGCTGGCTCTGGGGTCATGGTCCTCCCTGCAGGCCAGTGCCTGCTCCTGGAGTGGCATAAGGGAGGTGGTGGGTGGAGACTGAGCCCTGCCCACAGCTGCTGGGCTTTGGTGGCCGACCCAGGAACTCCAAGATGTCAGAGTGCCCGTCTCAGGTAGTGCGTCAGGACCCTGAAGTGTTTGCAGGCCTGTGAGCTGGATGCTGGGAGGAGGCGGGCTCGGGAGCAGCCAGGTGTGACCACTGGGCACAGACAAAGAGACCAGGAGCAGGCCAGATGCCAGCACGGGCTGGGTCCCTGAGGAGGGCTTCCTCTTGGCAGGGTCTCCTCCGGCTGGTGGGCTGTGGCTTAGAGCACTGACTTATCAGCTGCCCCTGCAGGCGATAGTTAGATTAGGAGGGGCACAATCAGCCAGATTCTCCAGGACGTTGATTGGGAAACCAGATGCCAGTTTCTTTATCTGCAATGTGTGCCCAGCGATTTGGGGCGTAACCTCCCAGCCTTGTGACTCTGGAGTGGAGCACCTGGCCAGTAATGAGAAGAGCCTATGCACCTGGTCCGCAGTGTTTGTGGGTGGTTATGCCCCGCTGAGGGAGAGCAGTCCTGAGGGGCAGAGCCCTGCTTTCTCAGAGTGTATTAATTCACCCCTGTGAGCCTCCGAATCATCTGAAAATTGAGGTTACTGTCAGAATGAACTGAGATCTTATCCCAGGCACAGAACTTCTTACATAGCACAGGATACATAGTAAGTGTTCAGTAAACAGCATTGTCTACCGACCAGCTAACTGATGGATCTCATTTTCTAAACCTCGCGGGGCCTCAGAAGAGGCTGTTGGGGAGAGGAATCTGGCTGAAGAGACTCAGAAATGCTGAGAGGCTGACAGGGAGATAGCAGAGGGCATCTCAAAGTGGCACTGTCCCCACTCTTCCGGGTCCTGAGGTCATGCAGCCTCTCACTCACGCTGGGCCGCTGCCTGAGGCTGCAGGGCTCCACCCCGCAGCTCCTGTCTGGCAACCCTTCTCTAGCAGGCTGCTCGCTCGCTCGCTCTCGCTGGCAGACGCTGCCTCCCGGCCTGACGCCGCGCTGGGTGTTCTGTGTGCTCTGCGGGAGGGAGCGGAGGCGGCTGCAAGGGGGGCTGAGCGAGCCTCCGCGCTGACCCTCTTGATCCCCCAGCAGGGCTTGGTGCTGCCGGGGTGCAGAGGCCGCGAGATGCCCCCAGGGGCGGGGTCGTTCAGCACATCTCCGGCTCTCGGATCCCCCGGTCGCCGGTTTTGCCTGTGAGCTGCAGAGCAGGCTTGGGCGAGGAATGACCTTGACCACTGGAGTTTTGTCAGGAGGAGGCTGGGTAGATATCGGCCAGAAAGGGGCACTGGGCGCCAATAGGCACGAGAGAGGACAGTACAGACACGCGGCCGGACCTCTCGCAGGGGGTTCCGAACCTCTCCTTGCCTCTGGTCTCTCTCTCTCTCTCTTTTCTTTCTTTCTTTCTTTTTTTCTTTTTCTTTCTTTTTTTTTTTTTTTTTTTGAGACGGGGATCTTGCTATGCAGTTCAGGCTGGCCTTGAGCTCACTTTGTAGCCAGGCTGGTCTCAAATGCACAACGATCCTCCTGCCTCAGCCTCCCGAGTGCTGGGATTACAGGCATGAGCCACCACGCCCGGGTCGTTGTGTCTGGTTTTAAGAGGCTGCACTCGCCCTACGCCATCGCCCTCGCCCCTGACCTTGTCCTGGGGCAGCCTGTGGGTCTCACCTTCCACACGGCATAGCTGGAGGGGTCCGGGCACAAGGAATTCTGGGTCCGAGGAAAGTTAAAGGGTGCAAGAGATGCTCTAGCCTCTGTGTTGGTGTGTCTGGTTTGTTTTTATTCATTTTTAATGTTTTAAGGGTTTTGTTGTTGTTTTTGGATACAAGGTCTCATTATGTAGCTCAGCCTATCTTTGACCTCCCTTAGGTATCCCAGGCTGGCCTTCAGCTCATGGTGCTACTTCTGTCTCAGCCTCCCTGAGTGCTGGGATTGCCGGCGTGCACCACCACACCCAGCTTTTGTGTTTCATTTTATTTAATTACTAAATATTTCAATTTTGGTGCTGGCAATGTTGTTGGGCAAGTGCTCTACACCTGAGCTATGTGAGGTTTAATAGCCACCTTATCTGAATCTAGGGCCTAGGGACGCCCTGCCTACCTCTGGGGGCAATCTGGTCCTGCCAAGAGGCCACGTGAGGTCTCACTTTACCCTTAGCCTGGCGGTCTCCATTGTTCTGTGATGGAACTGTGGGAGAACTGGGGCTCAGAGAAGGGAAGTAACTCTCCGACAGTCACATGGCAGGGAGAATGTAGGCTGGGATTTGAACCAAGGTAATCAGAGTCCAGAGCTGAACACACCTTCTGCACCTTGTGCATCTGTGTTTGTGTTTGGTTTTTTTGAGGCAAGGTCTCAGTATGTAGCCCAGGCTGACCTTGAACTCAAAATCTGCCTCAACTTCCTGAGTGCTGGGATTACAGGTGTGCACCACTATGCCAGACTGGGCCAGGTGCTCAAGAGGCTCCCACAGTGATGAAGCAGTGAGTTTCTGGGACCAGCGTAGGGGAATGGGCACAGGGCCGTGTCCCAGGAGCAGCCATCTCCCCTATGGGCCCCTGCGGACATGGTTCCAAGGCTCCTGCTGATCCCCTCTTCTCAGTGGACCGACAATCAGTAGTGTGAAAACAGGCCAGATAGGTCACACCACCCAGGATGTGAGTGAGGAGCAGTTGCTGGTGGCTCTCACCCCTCCGAGCTTTATCTCCACCTCCTGGAATAGGGAGGGCCTCGGCGGTTTCCTCCTTGGGCTGAGACTGGGGGGTCTGTTTGCTGTGTGCTGTTTCTTCCCCTTTGGCTTCCTGATTGCTAGTGATAGAGCATTGCTTGCCCATCCATCCGAGCACACTGGGCCCCACGCCCTGCAGTGCGAGCTTTTCCAGGTGCTGTACTGGCCTCGCCTGCCCAGAGCAGGGATGAGACTCCAGGTGCTTCAAGGCAGCCCTGGGGGCCAGGCACACA